CTGTACCTTGACCAGGAGGCTGTCGTTCGAACAGAACAAGGGGACACTACATGGTTTAAAATCAAGAAGGGAGTGCGTCAGGGTTGTGTCCTTTCCCCATACTTATTCAATTTATATGCTGAGCAAATAATCCGAGAAGCTGGACTATATGAAGAGAAACATGGCATCAGGATTGGAGGAAGAAGCATTAACAACCTGAGATATGCTGATGATACAACTGTGCTTGCTGAAAGTGAGGATGACTTGAGGCACTTACTGATGAAGACTGACGAACACAATCTGTAGTATAGATTACATCAAAATATAAAGAAGACAAAAATCTTCACAACTGGACCAATAAGCAGCATCACGATAAATGGAGAAAAGATTAAGGTTGTCAAAGAATTCATGTTTCTTGGTTCTACAATCGATGCCAATTGAAGCAGCAGTCAGGACATTAGACAACGTGTAGCACTGGACAGGACGGCTGCAAAGGAACTCTTTCAAGTGCTGAGGAGTAAGGATGTCTCCTTGAGGACTAAGGTGCGCCTGACACAGGCCATGATATTTCCAATCACCTTGTATGCATGTGAGAGCTGGACAATGAATGAGGAAGACCGAAAAAGAATTGATGGTTTTGAATTGTGGTGCCGGTGAAAAATGCTGAAAGTACCATGCACTGCTAAAAGAACTAACAAATCTGTCCTGGAGGAAGTGCAGCCAAGATGTTCCTTGGAAGCGAGGATGGCCAGACTTCATCTTGCCTACTTTGGTCATGCTGTCAGAGGGGACCATTCCCTGGAGAAGGATGTCATGCTTGGTAAGGTGCAGGGTCATCGAAAGAGGGAAAGGCCTTCGACAAGATGGATTGAACGGTGGCTGCAACAATGCACTCAAGTATAGCAAGGATCATGGAGCTGGTGCAGGATTGGGTGGTGTTTTGTTCTGCTGTGCATGGGGTCACTATGAGTCAGAAACAACTCAACAGCACCTAACAACAACAACAAACTTGCATTTTTGACCCCTGACTATGTGAACCAGCAGAAAGATGAGAGAAATCTATGGGATGGCATGGCTGAAGGAGTAGGAGGACATCTAGCAGCTCTCATCTCTTTGCAAGAGGGTACTGGTGAAAAAGCAAATCATAGGAGTCTCCAAGAGAAAGGGATTTTGAGCCGAGTTGTCAGGAATGCTGCCCACTGAGCACATGGAAATACTTTTCCTTCCCCTCCTACATAGGTGATGAAAATACAGAAATATACTGGGGTCAAAAAAGATGAAAGAGAAGAAAAACATCGCCCACTGTAACCTCATCTTTGAGAGCAAAGTTTATTACCTATATAGGAAACTGAGAGATGTTTCACAAAACTATCAACTCACCTCCTGCTCTTTAAGAAGAGATTCAGCAGCCTCATTTTAACCTACAACTGAAAAACCCTTTCTTGTCATGCCAATGCAAACAGAGGCAGAAACTGAGTGGAAATGGACCTCCCAAACCTACTCAGTATGTAGAATATGGTACACTTGCTCTCACCTTATAATTGGGGCATGAGAAGCTTTTATGGCCATAATAAAGGGGAACGTGCTAGGAAGTGTTGACAAGAGTGGAAATGAGATGGAGGCACCATAGTGTGTTTTAATTAAAGAAAACCTCTCTACAATGCCTAGAGAAACTTCTAAAGAAGAAAAACAGAAAATAATTCTGCTTCTGAAAGCATCTTGGAGCTTGTTTACTGATCAGATGGAGAGCTGAATCAGGAGGCACACCCACTTCCAAATAGTTATGCAAACAGGTGATCGTCTCCAGGAACTGTATATTTGAGCAGTATCAAACATCTGGTTCCACTTCCAAACAAACCCATCTCCTTAATCTCCCTCAACAATATGAATTCCCTTAAATTCCAAACTTAGAATACAGAAGAAAGATGTTTGACAGGCTTAAAACATCCTGATTTAGGAATTATTTAAAACCAAGAATAATCAATTTTGATTTGGGAAAGATCTGCAATTCGCCATTGCTACCACAATTCATCCTATCTCCTGAAGCTACCCCTTCTCCTTATCTTTTCTTTCATATCCCCCAAGATGATGAGAGCTTAGGGTACGTTTTTTCTTTAAAAATTATAAATACTTCTCTGCATTAGAGTCTAATTGGTATTCATGAAATATCAAGTCTAGTGGACTAATGTAGCACAAGCTAATTAACAACAAATAATAACACCTGTACAGCATGTATTACATCCCATTCAGCCAAGTATTTTACATGCTTTATCTCCTTGAATTCTTAACAATTCTAGAAAATAGGTATGAATCCCATCTTCATTTTTCAGATGAGGAAATCATGGCTCTGAGAGACTAAGTAACTTTAGCTCAAAGTCACAGGGCTATATTAAGTGGCAAAGTCAAACGTGGATCCAGATTCCCTGACTTGAAAGCCAAAAATATTAACAACTAAAGTCCACTGCCATGATGCAAGGAAACAATTAGTCCAAAGGAGTAATGGACCACATGAACCCCAGCCTCCAAGACCCTGAGACCAAAAGAAATAGATGGTGCCTGGCTACCACTGCTGACTGCTCTGAAAGGATCACAATAGAAGGTTCTGGATAGAGTGTGACAAAAATGTGGAACAAAACTCAAAACATTAAAAAAAAAAAAAAAATCAGGCTTATTGGTCTGATAGAGACTGGTAGAACCCCCAAGATTACGATTGTTAGATACCTTTCAAGCCTGGAACTGAATTCAACTTTCAGACAGGCCTATCAAAGTGAACAAGAACACCAGGAAGGTACACACTTATTACAACAATCAACCTCACGAGATCAAAAGAGCAGCATTTGCCCAGGGATAAAGCTCAGAAGCAGGAAGAGATAGGAGAGAAGGAAGAGGGGAAATGGTGAATACACAGAGGAAGTGGGAAGAGTGCTGTCACACTGTGGGGAATGCAATCAGTGTCACAAAATAAAGTGTATATGAATTGTTGAATGGAAAATCAATTTGCTCTGTAAACTTCTACTCAAACCACAATAATAATATAAAAAAGTGGAAAAATAAATTAGCTCAGTTAGTTGCTATGAGCTTGTGATTTAGGCTTAAAGGAGCATCATCTCCCCATGGGAGCTCTTGCACCCTCCAGCAGCCACACTGAACAGCAGACATCATGACACCTAAAAGGAATTCCAAACCCAGCCCAGGTGGCGCCAAGTGTCAGAATTCTCTAGAGCTGGGAAACGTGGCCACAGATAAACTTCTCAGACAGGATAGAAGTACTGGTCTGACAACTGCTATGGCTTTTTTTTTTTTTTTTTTAAATGAAAGGGGAGAGATTAAATAGCATTATATGAGAATTATGCAGAGATTGAAGGATCTTGGTACGAGTACTGCTGATCTTGAGCAAATAGCCCAAATAAGCTTAACACGTGTGTTTAATTCAAAGACTTAACCTGTTGCCAAGTAAAGTGTCTTAAAGAATTGGAATGTTGTCAAACTAGCTTAACACCATGAAATGGTAAACTTAATGAGAGACTCTATAAATCTCGAGGAATAAAACACACAGCTATCTCCAAAGGCTGTGATTTCATAATGGTCTGGCCTCTTTCCTGGGTGTGTACACACACACACACACACACAGAGTGATGGGTGAAAAATTGTAACTAAAAGCTGATTTTTTTAATTGAGTAAAATGTATTCCACCCCTGCCTCTACTCAAAACATTTAGAATCATTTTACTCAATTTTTTTAAGTATAGAGACCCAAATATAAGACACAACCATGCAAAAGAGTCGATTCTCTAAAACACATCTACTCACTCTCCTAAAGAAATAACACACATTCTTGAGAATAGAAACCATAACATTAAAACAAAATAAAACAAAACCGGTGGTTCAGTGTTGAACCTTAAAAGATGGGGAAGGCTGTACAGATCCTTATAAATCAACTGCCTGAGGATCTTTCCAAACTGGATATAAGTGGGGCAATGGAGAGGGCAGGGAGAGAAGGAAGAAAAGATTTGTAATTGGAAAAAAAAAATCAAATTCAGTAATATTTGTTCCTGAGAAAAACATGACAACTACTCACCTGTCCACTGCTTCTACATCAAAGCAAAACCTTTTCTCAATAGAGTCTGTTTTCCGCCTTGTACAGGATTTGAGAGTGACTGATTCATCTTCTCCCTATTGAACACACAAATCATAAAGATGAGACCAGACTGTGTACTCTGCTCCTACTCAGGACAAACATGACACAAAAATAGGAATGATCATTTCATTTCTTCAAGCCTAAATGTTCATAACTATGAGATATAGAAGGCTGGTCATACTCCTCAGGCAAAAGGCTCATGCAACTGAAATTTGTAAACCATGTTGTACTCAGAGCCAAACACCTTTAATACCGGTAGATCCTGACAGCGCAGCATTACACAAGGTAGCTAAACTCTCATTTATATTGTTTTTAACAAGTTTTAATTTGTAGTTTGATTAGATTGAGCAAGACGACCTTGAAATCACCTTCCAACTCTGGCTTCTATGGTCTTGATTCAGTCCTCATTTCTTCAGAAAAGCTCTCCTGGACCATGTCAAATACCCCCATGACATGTTCACATAGCACCACGGACCTTTCCCTCATGACATTGATCATAGCTGAAATTTTCCATTGATAAAGATGGTAATTCAAATAACATGTCTCTCCTTGTAAGTTCTCTAAGGAAATTTGCCTGTTTTTTTTTTGTTTGTTTGTTTGTTTGTTTGTTTGTCTGTTTGGTTTTTTCTTTTTTTTTTTTTTTTTTTTGCATTCTTCTTCACTTCCAATGCTAGGAGACCATTAGCTGCATCTTAGATGGCTGCTTGAAAGCTTTTAAGACCCCAGTCACTACTCACCAATGTAGGATGTGGAGCAATGCTTTTATGTGTTTTGTTGTGCCAACTGAGTCTGATGTCCTCAAGTACTATGGTCCTGAGATAGTAGATATACTGGATCTCTCTCCTTTAGTGTCTGGCTGTCTGTGAGAGATTACTCTGTGTCTCTCTTCTTTTGTTTCTGTAAGGACTGCAGGTATATTGTAACACTGGTGTCTGTGCAAGATTATCCTCTGCTGAATCTATCCTTGGTCTAGAGTACATTGCTGTTCACTGACTCCCTTCTGATCATCTCAGGTATTTATGTGTTTATCTGTGTAGCCTAGTGTTTGCTATTAATGGCAATGTGGTATTGCGGACCCATTGGTTGGTATTAGCATCTGTCATCTATCTCTTATGTGCACAAATCGGTGTCCTCCCATATCCTAATGTTATCCTGGTGGTCATATATCCTTCCCATATATCCCTGCCCCACCCATGTCAGCTTGTAGGCCCCAACTTGCCCAAAATTAATCCCTCTCCTTCCCTCCCCATCCTGGTAACCTACTAGGTGAGTTCCTTTTCCCAAGCAAACCCTTCTCTGTCTTTTTACAGTAATGGGCTCATACAGTACTTGTCCTTCTATGATTGACTTATTTCACTCAGCATAATGTCCTACAGGTTCATCCATGTTGAGAGATACTTTGCATATCCCTCATTGTTTTTTTAATGTGGCATAGTATTCCATTGTGTGGATATACCAAAATTTGGTTATCCACTAACCCATTGACGGGCATTTAGGTTGTTTCCACCTCTTTGCTATGGTGAATTGTGCTGCAATGAACACAGATGTACATGTGTCTGTTCCTCATCTTTTTTAATCTGGCCCCTAAAAAAAACTCATTATAATTAGTTTATGATTCATCCATGTTGGTGAGTATATCTAGACTTTGTTTCTTTCTATTGTTGTTGTTGTTAGGAGCCGTCAAGTTGTTTCCGACTCAGCAACTCCATGCACAACAGAACGAAACACTGCCTGATCCCGCCCCAGATCCATGATCCCTGCTATACTTGAGCCCATCATCACAACCATCGTGTCAATCCATCTCACTGAAGACCTCCCCCTCTTTCATTGACCCTCCACCCTACCAAGCATAACATCCTTGTCCAGGGAATGGTCCCTTCTGACAACATGACCAAAATAGGTGAGACGAAGTCTGGCCATTCTCACTTCCAAGGAGCATTTCGGGTACACTTCCTCCAGGACAGATGTTAGTTCTTTTACCAGTCCATGGTACTTTCAGCATTCTTCGCCAGCACCACAACTCAAAAGGATCAACTCTTCTTG